AGTCAGTGTTCCTCCCAGACGAATCTGGTACCAATTTACCGTCCCCGGGGAGTAGAAGGCTTGGGTGGCCCGGGCGGGAGTCGACCCGGGATTTGAACCCCACGCCGCGCGAGTGCTAAGCGCCCAACTTGTAACTACACCACCTCCGCCTCCTACATACAATACCGCCCCTAATTTTTGGAAAAAAAGCGGATTAACCCGCCGTAGACCGCCCCAGAGCGCCGCACTGCCATAACTTCTTTCAAAAAGGGTGGTGGGAGAAGCAAAAGATACGTTTAGATTCGTCTCTGCGTTGGCATGTCTAACGGTGTATGACCCGTCGAATTTCGGTAAGTAGGTCATCAGCTTCTTCCTGAAAACCGGTCAGACTCAGCTATAGGCTATGACTCTGTTCTTGTGTACTCTTCTCATATAGAACCCAAACGGTTAGACTAAGCTCGTCGAGCTCTATGAGATAGCATTCTGAAGAACTGGAAAATAGAAAATTTATCACTGCTCCCTATAGAAGTACCCGAGGATACTCGCTAGCGAGCGAGGCTCGCTATGCTCGCTTGTAACCACAGGGCAGTCGTTGGGAACTGAAACATTCAGGAATCGAATAATGTACTGTGTCGCGTAAGAAGTGATTAAAGTTAAATAAGTGTGTTTCCTAAATGATACTGATCATTACGGTGCCAATTTTTCTGAAAACGGATGGGTTTCGCTCGATGTATATTCGGACAATGTAGCCTTTTCAGACCGAAAAATCTCGAGCGCTGGTTCAGTTTGGACTAGGGTACGCCATCATTGTGATCATCACAAGGGGGGGGCGTATTTGACCGCGAGGGAGGGGGGTCGTATTTGGTTAGTTCACGGACTCACTGCTATTTCCGACACTCGAATGATAGTTTAATTCTGACGACCCCCCCCCCCCCGCTCGGACGGCTCGGTTCGATGAGGAAGGACAGAGGGCTGGGAGGGGGGGTCGTGTTTTAGTATGGAATTAGAGGGGGTCGTAATTTTCAGAAAATGATCACGACGCGATGGCGTGCCCTGGTTTGAACCACAACAGTCCAGCGGGCTGAAAATATGGAGCCCTATTTTTCTCAAGGTTCGCGGATTTGAAAAATGAAGTAAAAGAAGGGTTTTAGGCTAACTGAAATGATCACTCCGTGCAATAATGGACAAGTACTCGATTTCCAGCGTTTTCAAGTAGGATTTCTCGCCCTCTGAGTGGCCCCGCAAATTCCATAAAAAAAGCTTCATATAGAACGTCTTGCGCTCTCTAAGAACATAGTGGACAACAGTGGTATATTCTATAGTGGTTGGTATTACCGGGCCAACGTCGAGACTCCATTTCAAATCAAAACTTTCGTGTTTTCCATAGGAAGAAAATCCCAACCAAAGTTGCACCATTGGAATCCCCATGAAAAATGCTGTCTACTCATAAAAAAATCACTTCATGGAACTTTCTGCCACATTTCGCAGTTTTCCATGGCTATCTGCCCTGTCAGCGATCAATCGACCTCTTAGAGGCACAGTTCGCGACCGCAAATTGCGGGAAATGGAACACAGATAGGCACAAAAAAGTGCTAAGTATCTGATTAGCTGAGAAAAGCAGCCGAAAAAGCAGTCCGAAATGTTATAGAGAAAGATAACATATTGACTACTAGCTAGTAGCTAGCAGCCGGTGAGGGTCGGCATGGGCTTAAATGGTGTCCATGGGCCTAATTATTCAGCTTCTAGCGGAGTTCTTGCCGCTTTTCACATTTTGAAAGTAGCGCTGCCTCAAAAATTGCCTTCCGGATCATCCGACACATTTGAGAGGTCATAGCGCTATTTTATCGCGGAATATGCCTTTAAGTAGTTATTCCACCGAGGTGTCAGGATATATGTTCGATTCAATCTCAATATTTTCATTTACCACCAGGTGGTCTCTTCTGTTACTAAACAAGATTCGTGAATACTGACCTGTTCTAGCACAATGTTCTCTTATTCAAATTTTGATATTATCATCCCCCCCCCGGAATGTCGATTCGTACTTACTAATTAAAGATACTCATCACTTATTATATTGTTTTATAGTTACTCTCATGATCACACAATCATGAAGAATTTGCTAAAGTAATATTTCGTATGAATTTTTGTACTTGAAGACATCAAAAGCTTTCAAGGTGTTTCATTAATGTTCTGTTCGTGGCATGCGTGGCCGAGTGGGTATAGTCGTAGGGCTCCCGAATGCTGCTTGAGGTTTGAACCCCTCAATCAACGCATTCGTGAGGTCTTTTTTTTTATCGAATGGTTTCACGATACGGTTGCGTCTTTTTGTATTTATTCTTCCGAAGTGGTCCCTAATCTCCTATTGGTCCGTCCGACAAACACACAGACAACTTCTGCTTTATATATAGGGTATGATTTCGCATAACTCTTGTGCCCGATAATGCCGTGACGTAATGTTTTTGAACTGATGGAGCCATTGCGAACGATTCCATTGAGAACATTTCCTGGCTATTGACCTCCTCCTATCTCCACTGGTCCTATTTATGCTAGCCGACAGAAACTGTTCATGCACATGCCGAACCACACTGTATATGCTCATGCCGAATCGTTCAAGCCCGCTACGGACAAACTGCAAGTATCGTATCTCTGCAATCGACAAACGCCTGTGGCGTTTTATTAAGCTTCCTGTCTGTTGGGGATAAACTGCTGACCTACTTACTTTTCTATTTTGTTACGTATTCCAGCAGTATTCAACGCGTCATGATTGGTAGATTCCACATTTTTCAACAAAAAAGAGCTGGTGAACCATTGCCAACGTGCGCTCGGTTGCAAAGATACGGTACTCGAAGCCCAATGTTCTTACTGACAATCAAAGAACAGGGCATAAAATAGAACATGCGAATGCGAAGCTTGAACTGTGAGCAATGTTCCAGTGGATCGCCAACCATACATGAAACTGGTACTAATTTCGAGTTTTTCAACTTCAGCATCTGGAAGCATATAGATTTGCCAATTATTGAACTCACATCTCAATTCTATACAGATCTTTCTTGCCCTCCCCATCCAGTTTCATTCACTTATGGCTACCAGTAGAACGTTGCTGTGAAAGATGAAGAAGAAAAATGAAGAAATCATAAAAAACCAATCAGAACAACACAAAGGAATGTAAGCAAGAAAAAGTGATGAAGCATTCCACCGGAACCCATGCCATAGCCTCAGATCGATTATCACACCGGGCCCTGAACGCGTTTTCTCAATGCAAGCAGTCGGACAGCAGCCTGGCGGCGGTGCGCGGTAACACCGGCGGCGATCGCCATGCGCCCCGCGACAGCCTGCTGCGGCCGCATAACGAGCAACGAAACCGTAGAGCAGCAAAGACCGGCCGGCCCGCGTCCCGCAAAACCTCATACAAACAACAGATACAAACTACACACATACACGAAAAAAAACGAGAAATCATAGAAAAATCATTAAAAAAAGAAACGACACCACTATGATCGACCCGGACAAACCAACACAAGAAATTGCAAGAGGGAAAAAATGGTTAACATTTCACTAAGCCATGCTTAGCTCAGCATCGGTTTACACCACCTGAGGTCTCTGGAGCTTTCCCAGATCACAAATGGCACACCTTTAATTCATTCACAGCACGGTAAACAACGGACTACACACGGAGACACCCAAAGAGGAAGGCTAAGATCGAAAATGAATAACTGATCACACTCTAATTCTCGGGTTATGGGGTGGGCGTGGCTGCACAATTCATTCGAAAGTGGCGATGGTTGCTTTTCTGGAGGAGTGCGCCGGTTTGAAAATGTAATCATTTCCTCAAAGAGCCGAACACAGTATAGAGGTTATCCCAAATGAGAAGTAGCTTGCGAAGAACGGATCTTTTGCTATGACTGAAGGAAGAACACAGCCAGCCCACCCCATCTACGGGATATAGGGTGTGTATGAGGACACTTCAAAAAAAACAACGTTAGTTATATAAAAGAGTATTATACAAAGATTGTAGCTTAGACCACAATCTTTATACAGTCGTTGATAGTGATGACGATGATGTAATGTTGATTTTACTGCTTATGCTCAGGATCGGGCACAGAGTTGCAATTTGAGTGATTCGACAAATTGGTGACTATTATATAATGCCTGCTTCGCTGTGTGATTGATAAGGTGGGTCAAGAAACTCGTGTTTTCAGACATCTGCGAGTTTGCTGGGAAGGCAGACTCCCGCATAGCGAAATCAATGCCCATCATAATAGTGGTCCCTTGGAAATTGGAACTTACAGACTTTGTGACTCGATCAGGTCCAGCAGTTTAATTTTAGAACTCCGCCGATTGCCGATGGTCTGGCACTCCTACGCTGATCATTGGACCACTGCAAGAGCATTGCGAACACGTGAAACGACATTACCGTCGCAGCAGGGCACAGCATTACTTGGGTTTATGTTCAAGCTGTACGACCCCCCCCCCCCTTTTTTGGGAGTTGTAACGCCCCCCCAGCCTCTCTGTCCTTCCTCACAATCGACGTCGAGCCGTCAGAGCGGGGGCCGGGGGGGCCGGGCGTAAACACCACATGCGAAACAGAAAAAATCACAAAAGCTCAACCAACACTCCCAACCAAGTCCTAGGAAGGCCACAAAGTTAAACCACGACCCCCCCCCCCATCCCACAAATGATTAAATACAAAAATGATTAAATACGACCCCCCCTCCCTTCTACAACGCTCCATGAAGCCAAGAAAAATCAACTATCAAAACAATGTTTTCTCAGCCAAATACGACCCCCCCTTATCGAGGATACCCCAACCAAATGATGTTGCCCTGAGTCGCCAAGATGTTCACCAATTGAGATGGAGCGTGGCTTGTCCGCAAGTGCACATCTCTAAAAATTGTTAGACTTGATCGATTAGACCGTGGAAGTATAGAGGCAGTGTCAATCTCGGTGTAAATATTGCGTAATGCAACATCGCTCGTATCGCCTCATAGCAAGTTTCTGAGCACGACTCGAGGCTTCTCACTTTACCCATACTTTTTGGACAACGTTTTTGCCCGGCGCTTTGGTTGCCTACGCGTGGGGCGAGCACCTTTTCGTTTCCGAGGTCTACGTTGTGGAACTCTGACATCGGCTATGTCCTTATCAGCCTCCCTATCAGGTCGCTCTGCATACGGCTGATTTGGCCCAGACGGCCCCATCGCCATCTGATCCCCGTCTTCCCCTAGAAAAAACAATGAACGTGACAATGACAACATAAAAACAGTCATACCTTTGCCTACGATATGGCATGCGAGCAGCACTTGACTTGTGGCGCTAAACAGGAAAGTTTTTCACCAACTGTAACGAGCTCAGGATTACTTCACTGGTACAAAAACGCCGCCCCGCTGCATACGCACCGCGCACACGCCCTATCGTTTGCAGGATCATGATTGTAGGTCATGACGTGAAGGTGCGGGATGCTATATACATAGTTAAATGAGCAGTCACGCGACACATAGAATAAATAATCCTTGAGAAAAAAAAACGAATATTTTCAACTTTTGGGACTTGCTTACTGTAAAGCTTTCTCGAAGGCTCCAGCAGACGGGGACATAATGGATATGTGCAAAATTTCCAAGCTCAAAAGGCTTCTACATATTCGCAGCACAGAAGATGAAGGAGGTGGGGTGGAAGAACTGCACTGCATTCAGAAATGTTCAACTGCCGACCAATGGTGCGCGCTGCTCATCTAGTCCGTCACCGAAATAGATTCTAAATTTCATGGAGGACGGTAATGGTCAGTTTCCAAGTGAGAGGATTCTTTTTCAATTGGTTTTCATGTTTCAAAAGCGCTGAATGTGGAATAGTTTTGCGGTGCAGATATCTCGACATCAACGTCATTGGTGGAAAGGAATTGAGCCACGCCCTCAGAAGAGTTAAACCGCACATTCTCCTTGGCCACACCCCACCCATGCCACCAATGACGCTAGCAACAGCCGCCCTCATCCAGCTATCGTGCACATTGTCGCACCAGAAAATCACTTGATACCCCTCTATTTCGCCTCCCATTTCATACGCTATTTCGGGGTTCCGGAGCAACCGATGTGAGAATCAGAATGTTGGCTTTCGTGTAGATCTCCCCCCCCCCCGGAGTAGTGCATATTAACAAGTGCTAAGTTACCAGTGGTGTTAGGGGTCAATGTAACCAGGTAACTCACCGTCAAGCCTTGCGTGTGTCTTGCTAATCGGGTTCAGCGTTACATTCATGCGTACACCTTCATAATAGGACTTTCTGAACAGGTTACGAAGTGTATTATCATCAAAGCCAACGAAAAATTGCACTACTTGTCTTGACGAAACTGTCGAAGCGCACTCTTCATTAGCAGGGGCGGAAAAAAACGTGTAGGGCTAGCCGAGAAGATCATAGATTTCCCAGATGATTTGTGTAATCGTGATATCTGTCTTCCAGCAAGTAGACAGTATCGGGATGGATAAGAAACCTAGAAACAAAATGACAGTGATTGTGATCGAACAAGCTGTCAAAAAGTTTTATGCATGGAAACGCTCAGGTATTGTCCTTGATCGATTCCTTTTCAGAATCAACTAGCCATAATCATTGCAAACGAAAGGGCATGTGACGGGGCGTAACATGGACCGCTGCTTAGGAGAGAGTCTCCACTATTCATGCCACCCTGAGTCCGCAGCGATTGGCTGGAAAGGCTTTTCTGGGTGCTTTTCACTCACGCCCCTTCAAACGCTCTATCCTTTGCAGGAATCATAGCTTTAGTTGCACTAGGAACAGTAGCGACTTACTGGATGAAGTATGGCCTATACCGACTTGTGGGGACCAGCCAATGTACCATTCAGTATTCTTTTCTCACACGCGGATGTGGCAGTTTGGCGTCCCAGAGGACAACGGCTTGATTAGCCTGGGGAGACCGATTCTACCCCCACACTACGCGCACGGTAAACGTGCCACTTGCAACTACGCTAACGCCGCCTAATGCACCATATGCTACGCTTACCAACATGTAGGTCCTAATACGGAGCGCTGGGCTCGTGACACCTTTTGCAACGTTGCTGCTGGAATGAGGCATCTCATTGCTCTACCGCGAAAGGAAAATCCTTCGCACAATTTATTGTTTGGGGAGAGTCCTCCTTATACATTGGTGTGGCAATTCCTTCAGCCTTCGGTAGTGTACCATACGGGAAAAACCTCTACCTCTCAACGCCGTAGGCTTCACAGGGAGTGGCCGCTAGTGTTCGACCTAGACTGCATTATCTGGAGCCAAATACGTGGAACTCACATTGTTCACTGAATATTGCCCTGAAATCTATTCCAACAAAGAGAATGAGACTTAGGTGGCTGGGCGGTCAGTACTTACAGCCCCGCAGCAAGAAGGTGGTCGAGTTGAGAAAAAGGAAATCCGTGATCCCTCTTCCTTCAGTTTTAGTCTCGAGAAGTTCTCGAGAGTTGAGAGAAGGAATGGATACACGGCGAGTCAGATCGTCTGGCCTTTTCTCATCCTGAGCTGGATGGGAACAAGGGAACACTGTCTTTGAACCGTGTATTATTGCACTGCACCGCTTTCTCATTACAGCACCAAAGTCTTCGTACAACGACCACAAATGTTGAAGCAACTCTTACTCTCCCAACGGTATTTTTGAGAATTTCCTTGGTGATGCATTTCCATAAACCCCCATGGAATGTATTTGATTAAAAAATTAACACTCACCCATACAGTCGATGTTTGGATGAAATATTGGGGGGCTGAATCTACACAAAGGCGGTTCTCTTGGATAGTTATCGACTAGGAGGCGAAACTAAAAAAAAGTTACACCTATCACCCTACGGAAGTTATATATGACTGAATTTCACTAAAAATGTTATTGCATAACATGTGACTTTGTTTCATTCGAACCCAAACAGTAATAATTACGATAAAGCGCGATTCAAGGTAAAGACCACCCTTACACTTGTCCGCCTCTATATTTCAGTAGTGGTTTTTTTACAGAAAGTCATCGGGTTACGGTGCTGGGTGCTTGCTACTTTGTAACGCTGTTGCGTCCATTTCCGCAACCAAGGCTTGAGCTCAAAGCGGGGCAGACGAACAGTATCGTACGGCTACTAAACCTTTGTCGATCTTCCTTGCTTCGCTTTTGTGCGCATGGCTTTTACGACCGCAGTGGTCGCACACATTCTCGCGCTAACGCTATTAGGCCTGAGTTTCCTACTTTTGCGGCAGCGCACCCACACAGCGTCCAGGAGTGAGGACACGGGGGCGATAGGAGGGCAGCAGACGGTCCCGCATAGTCTCACTTCCCGATGCTGCTGATCGCATGTTGACGCTGGTCGCTTAGATGATCTATTACTTTCTAGTTAGGTGACGCTACCGGACGCTCGGAACCCTAGCCGTCGCTGAAGGGTGCTGCTGGTCGCTGGTGGACGCTAAAGTATGAAGACAGCCTCAGGGAACCACGAGTTCGTGTATCCCTATCTCTTCCTAAAGAACGCTAGGACTTAGAGCGCAGGCGACCAGTGCCGCCAAGGAATAGTCCACCAGACGGGACACAGTCGTGACTACCTCAAGCATTGATTAGATGAGGGATAAGGAGGCAATGGTGCGTGTCTTCCCAACTATGCTAACTTCGATATGTTAAATATTCGCTTAGTAGAGGGAGGGGTTTCTGGGGTTAGTTGCATCCTATAGACTCTTACCTGTGAGAAGCCCATTTTCTGGCCTATAGGATGTTCTTCCGCGCCTTTCAGGATACAACGGCATCTGAAAACCGCAGAAGCTTCCAACCTTTTCTTTTTCATCTCTCCTTCTTTTCTTTCCTTCTTTCTCTTCTCTTCTATTACTTATTTTCTTGCCTTCATATGCTCGGCCAAGGATGCGATGAGAATATCTCTGGACCTCGTGGGGAGGGAACATCCGATTGCTTTGACGGCGCTTGCCCCCTATCTATCTGTGCTCTCTATGCCACTCTGGTCGTCTGTGCTCCAGGCCAAGAGCCATGGCCACAGGAAGGCACGCACAGGCGCAGCCACGTGTTAGCAACTGAACCACATGAGCCAAGGTACAGCATCGTGATGCGTGAAACGGTCCGAATTGAGGTGCCGGTACGACCCCCCGCCTTCTCTACTGGTCCAAAGATACGTAACGATTTGCCTGCTAGCCGGTCGAGGGAGTCCACTGACACCGCCACCGCCCGTGAGAGAGGCTTCCCGGTTAGCAGGTGGACTGTGGCTTTCGAAATCATCAAATAAAGAAAATAATAGTAATAATAGGTCAGTAAAATCACTACCCCTAGGTTTTTGTACAATGCATACACCTCCATTTCGGTAGGTGAAAATATAAATTCCTGAGCAACCTATATGATTTTGATGGAAACACCTGAATAAAACAAAATAACAGTAATTAAAGACAGCTCCCGCGATAAGTGTCATGGATAATTGCTGATCAATTATAAAACAGTAACTGATAAGTAATTCCTCAATGAAGGAAAAAAGAAAGAAGAGCTCTCAAGAACACCATAAACAAAATCGCGACCTGACAGTCACACCTCACTGCGGTCTGTGCAAGCCCTGACTCACAAATCACTTTGTCACATCTCCCAGTAGTGGATATCATCGAATGCGAAGAAAAGAAAACAAAAAACAACAGAAACATAGCGGAAAAACTCTTGAAAAAAAGGAAACATTCAAAGCCGGCGTCCGAACTTAGTACGGTAGCGAGCATGTTTTAGTGTAGTGGAGTGCGTCGAGCTTCTGCACCACATAAATTGCATCATTCGTGATTTTTACGCGTTTTACCTTACGAGATGGGTTGCTGTTGACTGTGCGTGCTCCCAATGAATAAAATGTGATGAAGGAGAGCAGAATTATTAAGGAGCACGAGCGCGGTCAGCAAAAAGTACATGCAGTTCCGATTGATGACTGCCTCCCAACAAGGAACAACTGAGCGGCTCTCCGTCAGAGGGCAGCTAGCTAGTGAGGCGGTCCAACTGAGCAGGCGTTAGAACTAGAACTTTGAGCGGTTCTAGCTCGCTTCTCAACCTTTTTGTTGCAACGCGTATGCGACAAAAAGTGGTAGAAACGGAGTAATACGAAGGATATTATACACTAATGCACTTGTACGCTTCAAAACTGGGGCAGAACGACTTTGCCAAAACCGCACCAAATGCAGCGCACTGCCACGCCCCACCGGTCCGCAGTGATGAGGACTGTAGCTAGTGAGGCGGTCCAACTGAGCAGGCGTTAGAACTAGAACTTTGAGGCGGTTCTAGCTCGCTTCTCTCTCGCTGAGGAGTCGCGAGAGTGAGAAAGTATTTAGCTTGGGGGGCTGAACTACCTGCCCAAGAAGGGACGACCATGTACTACTTGAGCGCGGGGCTGTCTTTTGTATGCAAGTTAGTCCTAGATTCGAATCAGTTAGTTCTAGATTTCCTATATTACAGCAAAAAGCTGGACATCGACGGCATAAATCTCTCAGGACGGAGAGCAGCTCTGAACGGAGCGCGCGCTGCGATCCGAGCTCAAGATGGTCATGGAGCATTAACCGTTGACGAGAGGGACCGCGGTGCCTTTTCAAGGCTCAATAAGCAGCGGGAAGACAACAAGTCAACGTCGTCTCTGTACTGGTTCCGTTTTCCTACCTACTCGCTATCTGCATCTTCCCCCATACGTGTGCATTTTGGATGGGTTATGGATGTGTCAGGGGCTAGCTACTCGCGGGCGGGTCCCAATGCTTCAAACGAAAATAACTCTTTCGAACGAACTCTTTTGCAAAACAAGAACACATCAGAACGCCCAGTATTTTTTTGCTCTGCCAAGCTCTACAGTTCTCCTGAAGAACCGCTTCAGATGGGTTATCCTCGCGCGAGGTTCTTAGCCACACAAAGGCTTGACCAATTCTGTGCCATTGTAAGGAAACTCATTTGCGAACTTCAGTATGCCCTCAGAACAGATATTTCTCCCGAAGTGGACCGAAGCATAGTTTGGTTATCATCGATAGAACTGGTCCGAGTGTGCCCCGTGCATTACGCTTCTACGCAGAAAGGGGTTGAGAGGTATTGTAACTTCTATGTTTACGTGATTTTGTCCATGCAAGCGTTTGGGGTTTGGAAAGGTCGATATGGACAAGTCTGTTTGAGTTGTATTATTTAGTCATCCACATACTTACGAGTCCGTGCTAGTTATTGAAACTGCTAATTAATCGACTTAATATTTTGTAGTCTTCCTTACATTTGTGTCCTCTGCTACTTCCCGTCCACTCCATCGAACTTAGCGGTGAAGAACTGTTTGGTGCTCACCGACAGGGTACAGCATCGTTGTGTGAAACACATAGGGGGGTCGTAGTTTTTCTCTGGGGAGGCGGGTCGGATTTGGGGTAAGACAAATTTATTTTGATATTTGATTTTTTTCTTGTAGAAAAAGGGGGGTCGTTTTAATTCGTATTAATTTTTTGTGTTATATGCACCCTGTACACCCGCCGGATATACGTTGCATAGTTATTGTATACCCCGCCGGTCGAGCTGAGGGGAGCGGTCGTGGCGTGGACCCCATTCGGAGGGGGGTCGTACTCACACCGCCATTTCGCCTATCCCTACGCTGTACCCGCTCACCGACCCTGCGTGTTATCCCCCCTTTCCCGGCGGCCTGGTACGATCTCACCCCATGGGTTCACACAACGATGCGGTACGATCTCCCCCCATGGGTTCACACAACGATGCTGTACCCTGATTTTAGCACAGAATCTCGAGCTGCGAACTGTACCCAGTGCTTAGCGGTCACGTGGCAAATGAAACTTTCCGTGGTTGTCGTGCTGAGATGCTAGTGCGCGGAGAAAAGGACTGCGGCTACCACGAAATCAAATGGTTCAAGGAAAATACCATGAGTCAGGGCATAAGCTTTTCCAGGGGAAGTGGCCCAGTCATTTATCAGGCGTGAAGGTTCGATTGTGTAGGGTCACTGTGGTCAAAGCATATCATGTAGACGTGAGGACGTAAAACTGGAAGTCGGCGCCATCAAAGGAACTGATTCTATTTGACCATGCTTAGCAGTCTTTGCCATCTGCACGTGTATGCTATCCTTATGCGACCATGGTCGCCTGCGCTCTACGCCTCAAAGCTTGGCTAGAGGGACCGACGCAGAGGCGCTTCAGGGTGGTTTCCGTGTTGAGCGGTCGCGTGAGCCACTCGTGTGGGGTAGACAGTACGGCATAGACGACAGTCGAATAGGCGCGACCTAGATGAGCGGACCTACACACCCCCCCCCATACATTAATCGTGTTATATGACGCGCCGTACATTGCTTCCATTATCAGTCTGCTTATGTGGAAATAACGATATACCTTGAAAAGTCCTCCTTCCCAAAACGTTCGTTGTTTGCCGGCTACAGCGCACTCCCAGACCGCGTAATTTATAGAGCCATCAAAGTACTTCAGCGGTCTAGCAACACATCCAAAGGGGTGGAACTTTCGGAATAGACTCAGTTGTTCTTTCATGTAGCCCTCAGATATGGTCTGCATTGTTCTGGAAATACCACTTTGAAAACTTACAAACTTACTCACTGTACAACAAACTTGCTCACAGTAGGTGAAAATATCTTCATTAGAAACAATGTATGCTTAAAATTACTTCCCTTTCTGTACTTCCAACAGTCCAAGCCAGCACACAATTACACTAAAAAAAGCAAAAATAATGCTAGATTTTCACACTGGAAATGAATATCATTCCTAATGTTATCGAAAATATTGTATAGAACAGGGCACATCACTTGTTGGGGATTTTCGTCGGGTCCGCACCCCCCCCCGTCCGGTTTTTGGTGGGGGGGGGGGAGGATTGGCACGACCCCCCCCCCGTCCGACCGTCTGTAGGAGAAGTAGATGAATAAGAACGGAAAAGAATGAAAGCTAGTAGTGGAAGCGGTAGCTACCGTAGCTGAGCGCGTTCGGCCGATCATACTGGCCAACTGAAGGTGAAGCCGGGCTGGCCAACACCGAAAAAACCTCAACCATTTGTCACACTGGACTTACTGCAGCGTGGGGTCCTTTGATTTTGTGCATTTCTGTGAAGGATGTTGCAAATAGTATAATTTACTTGGTTCCGATCTGAAGGGATTCGAACCTATTAGACCAAGTGCAGCGCGTAACTCTACTAGTAAAGACGATACGGAACAGTAGACCCCAAAACGAGTGTAATTTTGTAATACTGCTGTAACGTACAAGTTTGTTGGGAGTTCCAGTCTCAACAATCCGTACGAAACAACACTATCACAAATAATGTGCAGTAGAATAGAGCGAAGTAGTAAAGCGACCAGAGAATAAGGCGAACGGTAGTGGAGGGGGTAGCTACCGCAGGCAACCTCACTCGGTGAACCACACTGGCGAACTGAGAATAAACGCGGGCTGGGAAGCAACACCGGAAAAGCGCCAACCATTTTTCCTTGAGGGACCTTCTGAACCAAGGCCCTTTAATTTTTTTTGTATGTTCGTGAGATATTGTGCAATATTAATAGTTCATATTAATTATATTCCCTAGTATTCAAGTTACCAATTCCTTTTACTGAATGCGCTAGTCATCAAGAAATTACAAACGACCGAGGAAAACTGCTGGTCGAAGAACCCCTGGGGAGTTTTCAGCAAATGTGGCGAAGCAGATGTATGCTGGCGCAAGGGCCTATGGCGCTGGCGCCAGGCGATTTCGCGCCAAGCGGATGTGATGTGTTCGTGTTTTGGTGGTCACACTACTCTTAGGGAAACATTTTGCCCAAATTTGCTTTGGTGAAATATGTAGGAAAGAAATGTCATTGTCGGTGGCATAGCAAAACAACCATAATACATTTTGAACGCTGTAACTGCTTTATTTCACAAAGTAAAAGTAACCTGGCATTTTTTTAATAAACTAACGTATCGTCCTGTTGTACTTCATCCTGTAACTTTGCGCTAGAACTTCTCACTACTGTGAAATAATTCACAGTAAAAAGGAGTTCAGCAAGGAAAATGGCTTTCACTTAGCAAGAGTGCGTCAGTACTACTGGGGCACTGGCGCATTTTTCGTTAATTAAGAGCCCTATCAAAAGTGCCCGCAATACGGCGTTCCCTGGCCACTCTTGCCTGGAATTTCGCGCTAATCCTCAGTATTGTATCCCATTTTCATTTCTTACCACTAACTTGCAAAGAAATTATGATAGCTTTTGGTTCTTACCATGGCTAAATTTGAAAAGGAACTATGGGGTCTTATTTCAATCTTCCGCGGTTGTTGTAATTTTTTGATGTCCACCGCATTAAGTTGAAGCAATGGGAAACCTAAATAATGGGGAATACAATCCACGTTAACTAATAATATTGCGCAATATAAAAACAGTTAAAGGACCATGGTCCGCCTGGCCCTTTAAAGAAAGCGGCTGACGTTTTTTCGGTGTTGGTTCCCAGCACACGTTCTTTCTCAGTTCGCCGAGTGTGGTCCGCCAAGTGAGGTCGGTAGCGGTAGCTACCGCCTCCACTATCAGTTCTCTTTTTCTCTAGCCTTACTGATCTTCTCTTATTACTTCCATATAGTATTTGTAATAACATCAAAATGATATTCATTTTCATGCCGAACATCCATGTCGTTTTTGTCTTGTAATTACTGTGCTTCTTCTTGTTGGAATAACGAAGTAGAGAAGTATTCTCAGCAACGCTTTGTTTTTGATTTAGGCTTTTTCAAGTCTTGTGAATTCTTTACCTGGTATTTCCAGAATTATGGAGACCGTAAATGTCAACTATATGAGACAACAGCTCAAGCTCTTCCGTAAATCGCACCCATTCGGGTGTGTTGCTAGACCGAGGAAAGAAGATGATGAAAAAATGAGAAAAAAACGCCTGCTCTCACCAGCTCGCATGAGTAGCTCACGCGACCGCTCAACGCGGGAGCAGCGCCTCTGCGTCCCTTCCTTCAACCAAGCCTCTTACAATTAGGCATAGAGCGCAGACGACCAGGGTCACGCGCTCGGACAGACAGGGCGTATAAGGACAGGCACAGACAGACAGGGGGCAACGTCTGCTAAAACACTGGAAACAGGGTACAGCGTCGTTGTGTGAAACACATGTGAGGGGAGTCATCTTTGACTGCTGGGAGGTGGGAGGAGTCGTATGTGGTTTTTAGAAATTTACAGCGTTGGGAAAGTTTTTTCTCCAGTTAGTTGGCTTTTCGTGATTTTTCCTGTTACATGTGTACTACTTACACACCACCTCCCCCCCCCCACAATAGAAAAACATTTTTGGGGAAAAGTAGGAAAAAATCTCGGTAAGTCCCAGAAAAAAAAAGGAGAGAAAGTGGGAATTGAAAGCGATTTTGTCGTTTCACATTAGCTGTTGGCCATACCTTCCCCTTCCACCATCCCCCCACCCTCCCAGCTCAAGGCAAAATTTTGTGTGAAAAATGGAAAAGTGGGAGACTAGAAGGTAGGTGTTGTGGAAGCGGAGGGGACACCACCATTCCACACATCACGACACATGCTTTATTCTGATTGAAAACCGTTCACAGCTCGTATTTCGGTCTTAATATGGTTGAGTGGAATCACGTGGCTGAGCACGTGCATGCCTTCCAGTGGCCATGCCCCTCGGGCCTAGAGCGCAGACGACCAGAGTTGCACAGAGAGCAGAGACGATATGGGGCAACGGCCGTCGGAGCAAGGGGTTGCTTCCTCGCTGCGAGGGTTCAGTCCAGAGACATTTTTTCATCACATCTTTGGCCGAGCATCTGGAAGGAAAAAAAATAAGGAAGACGGAGAAGAGAAAGAATGAAGGAAAAGAAAGGAAGATGAATGAAAGAAGGAGAAGGAAGGTTCAGTTTCAAATCTCTCAATGTCTCGAAAGGTACGAAAAAACATCCTAGCAGAGTTGCGTTCAGCGTTTTCAGATCTCTCAATGTCTCGAAAGGTACGAAAAAACATCCTAGCAGAGTTGCGGAAAACAGGCGCTGCTGCTTCGTCTCTTGGCCTAATCAATCAATGCTAGGCGTAGTGAGGACTATGTCTCGTTTACAAGACTAACCCTCGACGGACGCTCTGGTCGTCTGCACTCTGATGCTAAGATTTTTCGTGGAGGGCATACAGAGCTAACAAGGCTCGATTCGAGGCCCATCGATGTACCTAGGTCTCCATTCAAAGTTCCATGGGAAGTTCAAACCATTCCCTTGTAAGGCCGTGTAGTCTTCCTAATTACGTTGGCGCTGAAATATGTGAGGCCGCAGTAAATCGCCATGCATATCAAAGTCAGAGAGATAGAGATGGTGGTAGTGCAGACAGAGAGGGGTCTCCAGGGTACCACTAATCACACGTGAAATGTTGAAATATGTGTGTTAAGCTGGCTGGTGGAGGTTGGGGGAGGGGATGCACATATCACGCGCACCATATCATGCGTATTCCATCCCCTTGTCAATACTTTTGTGTCGAGATTATGTTTCGTCCTCCTGCTATCCCTCGCTAAGTCTGGTCTTCTGCGCTCTTAGCCTGAATCCGGGAAGAGACACAGAGGCACGCCGCGTGATCCCCCTAAGTCTGCGTTCATATTTTACGGCAACGTGCATCAGCGTCCAGGAGTGGAGAGTGTGGGGCGATAGGAGGGTAACAGGCAGCTGATGCCCTCATATCGCCCCATACTCTCTACCAGTGGCCTGCTACCCTCATATCTCTCCATACTCTACCAGCTGTCTACTACCCTCCTATTTTCCCATGATCTCCACTCCTGGACGCTGTTGGTCGCTAGTGGACACTGAAAGACGTCGCTGATCGCTAGATTGGTACCTATACTTTCCTAGACTTCAAGAGGTTGCTGGTCGGTAGATCGGGCTCTGAAATTTCCTAGTTGCTCACGCTGTCGAACGCTTGGAAAGCCACTGGTTGCTGGTGGACGCCACCGCAAAGTATGAAAGTAGACTATTCGTGTCAGCGCCGAATGTGTGCGCCTACCGTGGTCCTAAAAAAAGCCGTGCAGACAAGGAAGGTTTGAGGGGCCAATTATGCCAGCACTCAATTCGACAACTTTCTGTAAAATACACGACTGGTATATAGAGATGGACAAGTGTAAGGGTGGTCACTACGTTGAATTGCGCTTGATCGTAATTATTACTTTTTGGGTTTGAATGAAACAAATTCACATGTTAGGGAATAACCTTTTTAGTGAAATTCAGTCATGTATTACTTCCGTAGGGTCCATGAGTGTAAATTTGCTTTTAGTACCGCCTCCTACTCAATAACTACCCAAGAGATCCGCCTTTGTGTAGATTCAGCCCCCCTATATTTCACCGACACGATGATAGCGAGTGTTAATTTTTTTCAATCGAACACGTTTAATGGGGGTTTATGAAGATGCATCACCAAAGAAAATCACAAAAATGCCGTTGGGAGAGTAGTCGCTTCGACATTTGTGGTTGTGGTACGAAGATTTTGGTGCTGTAATGAGAAAGCGGTGCAGCAGTGCGATAATACACGCTCCAAAACAGTGTTTCCTTGTTCCCATCTAGCTCAAGCTGAGAACGCCAGACGATCTGACTCGCCGTGTTCCATTCCTTCTCTCAACTCTCGAGAACTTCTCGAGGCTAAAATTGAAGGGGGGGGGGATCACGGCCCAGCTGAACTCATTCGTCTGCGCCTTTTTAGCGAGAGAGTGACCACTTCGTTTCGTCCTATATTTTTCGTGGAATTCAGACAACACTGAGTGCAGCCCTTTTCGCAAGTTTCTACTATGCTCCTGCTGCCTAAGCCTCATTTTCTTTGTTGGTTTCATATGGTACACTACCGATGGCTCTGGAATCGGTAGTGTACCATATGAAACCGATGGTTGCCACCCCAGTCTATGAGGGGATCCCTTCCCTGAAAATAAGTCCTGGGAAGGATTCTCCCCTCGTTGTGGGGTCTCTCCCATGCTCTAGCTGCCTTCTTATTTTCTTTGTTGGAATGGATTTCATGGCAACATTTAGTGGACCAAGTGAACTCCCTGCCTGCCAGGTAATGCACACTGGGTCGAACACTGGTATCCCGCCCCTGAAAAGTTCCGTGTGGGCGTGCAAGGGCCATATGCTATCTGTAGTTCCCCGGTTTAGGGAAGTCTCTTTTCTATATGGTACAATACCGAAGACTCTGGAAGAGTTGCCACCTCAGTCTATGAGGAAGACCCTTCCCTAACAATAGTCCTGTTAAGGATTCTCCCCTCGTTGTGGTGTAGGGGGATGCCTCAGATTCTGGGTGCAACGTTGCAAACGGTGTCAGGAGCGCAGCACTCGCACCAGGGCCTACAGTTTGGGCGTAGTATATTATGCGTGAGGCGGCGGTGGTATAGTTGCAAGTTGCAGATCTACCATGCGCACGGTATGGGGGTAGAATCCCAGATCGGTTCCCACAAAGGTCATTTTATCCTCCGAGGACGCCAAACTGGTGCCAGATCCGCCTGTGGGGATAAGAACACGGACTCCCGCATGTCATCTTACGGTCACTACGATTGTGAGTGGATATATATTTATGATCTCTGCTAGGGATAGGGCTTTGAAAGAGGCGTGAGTTGAAGAGTAGCCCGAACAGCCTTTCCCGCCCACCGTTGCGGATTATTGGTTTAGGAGTCGCTTAGTAGCGGTCCAAGCCACACCCCACCACACGCCCTATAGCTTGCAGAGATCATAACTAGAATGCGTGTGGAATTCCATGAGGGATTAGAACAAGGGCGATACCTACACCTTCCATTTCTATGCGTAAATGTGAAATAAAAGCACTTGGTACATCTTTATGTCAGCTGTGTTTGACCACAGTTGCTGTCATTGTGTTTCAGGTTACTTGTCAATTCCTCTTTTATCCAGTCATTGGGACCCAAGAATATCTATCACTCGAATCATCCGCGAGATCTTTGATGTTCTTTCTTCGCCGTACACGAATATTCTCCCCGCAAATGAGGAAGCCCATCCAAAAATTTCTCACTTACAGGTTGTGGAATTTCGGAAAATAGCTTTTGATGAACTACACTCCACATAACCTGTCTAGAGAATCCTATTCTGAACAGGTATATCACAATATTATGTCAAACCCGACTGACAGAATTATCGCCAGGCTTGACGGTGAGTTGTTTGGTGACATTAACCCCATCACCACGAGTTCCTTACTTCATATTTCGGGAGAGATCTGCACGGAAGCCAATATTCGGATTCCTGCGCCGATTGTGAAATGCCTAAGTGGCATATTGAATGGGAGATGATTAGCAGGTATCTAGCGATTTCGTGTAGAGCCAATGTGCACAATATCTGGAGGTGGGCGGTTGTTGCCAGCGTCATTGGTGCAATCGGTGAGGTATGGTCAAGGAGGATGTTCGACTCAACTGTCGAACACCCCAATTCGTTTCCACCGCTGATAGGTGTTTGATAGGTCTGCAACCGCAGAACTGTTCCACATTCAGCCCTCAAGAACCTTCAACTCTGTGACTACCTGGTGCCAATGGCGTCGACGCCCATCGATGTTACGTATTGTCATGTCATTCACATGTGTTCCACATGTGGAGTATAAAATCGCTTCAGAAAGGGCCCGACCGCTCTCCACGAAATTCACAGAAACCTAACCCGGTGATGGGCGAGGTGCAACGCGCATGGCGTATTTAGCATATTGTGCGCTTTCCATACAAACCTAAGAATGAAAGAACAACAGGTCAGCCCATTTGAAATAAGGAGCACTCGTTTCACTCGTCTAACAAGGGAATGGTTTGAATTTCCAATGGAACTTTGAAAGGAGACCTAGGTACATCGATGGAATCCCGAATGCTGTTTACGAATATGCAGATTAAAAGTGCTACAGAGTCCTCCAAATGTTAACAGGTTTGCCTCCCGTTGGCGCGAAGTTTTGCTTCGTCTCCGAGCTTTCACTCTAATTTTCGAAATTCCTCCGAAATTACGGCCCAGCAGAGACTCATTATCCATCCGACAATTCGAGGTTTTGGCCCAGAATTCATTCCTGTGAGTATTTTGACCCCTGAAAACGAATATCATATTCGTTTGGCGAGAAAACGCTTTTAGCCCTTAACGTTCTTGTGGTCATCAACTGAACGAGGAAACCAGTCGTTTTCGCGTCAAAGGGATGTGATATTTGTGCTCAGGGGTCAAAATACCCCCAGAAACGAGTTTCTGGCCGAATTGTGATTCTGGTCGAAACCTCGAATTGTCGGATGGATAATGAGTTCAGAGAGGACAGATAGCGCCCAATTCGTAATCGATCGAGTACGTCAATGCTTGATCTACTTGATATACTTGCTCTGCTGGGCCGTGAACACGGAAGAATTTCAAAAATCAGAGTAAAAGCTCTTATAGGAGACGAAGCAAAAATTTTCGCGCCAATGGGATGCAAACCCGTGAGCATTTGGCTTTAAAGAGTGACCATTACCACTAGGCCACGGTGGCACTGCTCAATGACCGATCAGCAGCGCTTACGAGACAAAACGTGTTTTCGCAAACTTGGACCGCCCAGAACTCGTCTGGGAGGTCTCCGTAGCACTTTCAATCTGCATATACGTAATCAGCATTCGAAACTCTATCGATGTACCTAGGTCTCCTTTGAAAGCTCTATGGGAACTTCGAACCATTCCCTTGTTATTACGATGAACCCAAACCTATGGTCCATATTTGCGGTACTATTCTTTGACCAATGTTGCAGAGGTTTTCCCCTCGCAGGGTTTTTTTTAAATTCAAGGCACGCTGTCGCCGAAGCGTCGGCACCTGTAGCTTGCGAAGACCGTTCAAGCAAAGCGGGTACCATACTCGTACTATACTCGTTCTCAGGGGGGGGGGGGTGGTCAAGTAACCCCTAACAACGGCACTCTAGCGAAACCTGAGGTTCTGACTCAACTTTGAAAAAATAAAGTTAATCATGGGTGACTTGAAGCCAACCACGACACTACGACTAATCTACTGGTGACTGGTCTTCGAGCTGAAATAACTCTTCATTCGCCTTCTGCGAAGAACAATATCCGGCTCACACTGATGTCGTCTCCCACATTTTCCTGGGTTAACGCGAGGAACTTCCATCTCGAGACCAGTCATCGGTGGTAAGTGAGCTCCAGCCTGCTGCTATACTTACCCATAGAATATCTCACATTCTCCAAGTTACGTTGAGATATCAGTCGTCCTGAACATCTGCATGTTTTAAGGCAGAATACAGGCAGGAGAAGGCACAGTTCGTAATGGCCGCCGACCTCGCCATGATGATCAGTTGCAAATGAATGAAGAAAACGTCTCTCCCTATGAAGGTGGACTTCGAATCGTTGAGATATCCTACCCTCTATGTGAGTGATTCTGCCAACAGTGTTTGCTTTGCAATTGCTTTCTCTTCTCTTCTCGATTCTCAGAAAAAAACTGAAAATTGAAATCAGTTTGAAATTGAAACTATGTTAGGTCGGTCCAATGTGGATTATGAGCGGCAAAGTACATATAAAAGCCGGTTGCCCTACAGTACCCATTCCATGCGATTTTCACATTTTCATAAATAATCCCTTCCCTTGAGAGCTGAATTTCCCTCTGAATAATCTCCCTTTTATTGAAACTACTTCGATGCGTACCTTATGATCTGGTCTTCAACAGAGGCCAGAGGCCTAGCGCGTCCGAGTAATTTTGTGCAGTATAGAATGCACATAGAACTGTTCCATCGAGGAGATCCGGTAGTGAACCAGAAGGGATTCACCTTCGCTTGCACTCGATTAAGGATCAGTTTCGAGCTTGACTCTTTCGAAGGGAGGATGACCAAGGATTCCCGGGGAGCTGAGTTGAGGCGAGGAGGGATTACTATCGGCGACCACAGATTTCGAAAGACCGACAGCTGTTATTGGAATAGTGGCAAAAGACCATCGTGAAAGAAGCCAATCAGGCTGTACAACTTCACGCTATCAAAATGTGATCGCTCAAAAGATCGTCCAGAAGTTGTAATAAACTCTGTGATCCAATATGGGCTAAAGGAGCATCCAATATATGTTACTCGTCCATGTGGCATCTCTTCTCGTAGAAAGGCAGAGCTCGAAGGCGGTGCGCGAAGGTGGAGTCTGAAAAAGGAAGTGTCACTGGAGCAGCTTTCCTCCTTTGCTCCTTACCTTACAACTTTACGCCGCGAAATTGTCAGAAGTCAGTCCATCGCGGACAACACCACCTTTCTCATAAAATTTTGAATTTTTATAGGTTGCAGACCACTCCTCCAATAGGGATCGGGGTAAATGCTGGTTTACAGGAATCGAGACAGCATGCAACTCAAACAAAATTTTCATTTCTTACTGAATGAGAAGTGCCTGAATGAACATCGCTCCTAATTTCAGTTGAACCTTCCTGATAATAGGGTGCTGGGCGTTATGACATCTACGTTACGGCTAACCGAGCAAGCTACAGTCATGGTCCCAGCAAGCCATAGGGCATGTAAGGGATATGAGCTGGATTTCTGCAGACACATGGATGACGCCATTGATGGAAATATTGCCTTGGCAGCACTCCAGTGCACGCCCCCTCCTCCCTTCCCCTCACACACTATCCTGCACAGGGATCGTGATCGGCCGATACTTGGACAGCTGCATTCTCAACCGCGCATGCTTTCAGCTGCGATTGCACGTGCTTTCGTCGAAAATCGGCGCAATCGAAATGAATCGCGATCGGTCGCGTCGGACGCGCAACCGAGCGCTGCCGTCGCAAAGTCTGAACGCTGCCTTACAGCAATTGGAACTAGAGACCCTGGAGTGTTCGATTTCTTTCTAGTATTTTTCATTTAATGTGCCGCAGTAGTGCCCATCTAATCATGTAGCTATAACGTCCCGCACCTTTACATCATGACATACAGTCATTGTGCATACAAGCGGCAGACTGAAGCGCAGCCAGAGCGGCATTTCTTTACCAATGATGCCATCTTGAGCCCGTTACAGTTGGTCGGAAAGCTCTATCGGTTGCGCCTCAAGCCACGTCTCTGTCATCTCTGTCACACATCCTCTCACTCGTGTGCAAGGGTATGACTGCATTTATCAATATTATTTATATATATATTTATTACACGAGTAGTCTCGTGTGAAGAAATTCCACAAAGAATTACGAGAACAATTATCAATGAAACTCTAGAGCATTCAAGCTAACTCATGAAGTGAAAGTAGTGTCATTGTGTCATTTATAGTGTCATTGTCACGTTCATTGTTTTTTTAGGGGACAACACGGTTCAGTTGCCGTTTGGGCCGCCCGGACCTCCTCCGCCGTACATACCAAGTGTGTTCCCGGAAGACCAATTCGGACAAAGACAACAACCGCCCCCTGCATACACACCGCTGGCAAATGCGCTTGAAATAAGTCCCGAAACGATGAGCGACATATCGACGAGACCATATCCACCAGCCTACTCGGCGCAGGAAGCACCTGCTCGAGGCAGAGCAGACGGACGTGGAAGTAGGGCGATCCACTCCACAAGACGTCGCCACACTGTACGTGTAAGTCTCGAAGATATAGAGCGGCTTCATAGATTAGACACAGTCGCTGCCAGAACTCCATGGCCTGCTCGTGGTCCTCCCCCTACGCGTAGGCAGCCGAGGCGCCGTGCAAAAACGGCTGTCATAGGGTACTGTGAATTCAGCGTTCCACAGCGTGTCCGAGGTCCTCCTCCTACGCGTAGGCAGCCAAAGCGCCGTGCAAAAACGGCTGTCAGATTTTACGATTAACAAGTGCTTTGGGTCGTACTCAAAACTTGATTACAGAAAGAATTGTGGTTAACGGCCACAGCCTCTATATCACATACGTTGTCTCCATTAAATGAGTCCTCAGTTACACTCACTGTATATCCCGTAGATGAGGTGGGCGTGGCCGTAAAGTTGCTTTGGTCATAGCACAGGACCCGCCCTTCGCAGGATACATCCCGCTATCTTGTGTTTGGCTCTACAAGGAAATGAATATACTTCTCCCGGAGCAGCGGCATTCCACCAAAAGCGCAACCACAGCCGCGTTCAAATGGATGTGTGTGCTGCCACGCCCACCCCATCGCCGGGATATGGGTGTGATCAATTATTATTTTCGAACTTTGTTCCTCTGGTGTTTGCGTATGTAGTTCCTTGTTTTCCGTGCCTTGAATGAGTTAAGGGTGTTCCCATTGTGATCTGGTGAAGCTTCAGTGCTTGTTTTCCATGCCTTTGATAAGTTAAGGGTGTCCCGATTGTGAGCTTCGGGTCTCCACGTGGTGTAAACCGATCTGAGCTATAGCATCTGGTTCGGTGAGATGTTCATCACTTTTTCTTCTTACCATTTCCCTTGTTTGTTTGTCGTCGTTCCTAGTGGTGTCAACTATTTTAGTTTATTGCTTTTTATAACTTCTTTTTTCTTCTTCATCTTTGACAGCAAGGTTCTACAGGTAGCCATAAGTGGATGAAACTGGGAGGGGAGGGCAAAGATCTGTGTTGATTCAAGATGTGAGCTCAAAAATTGGCAAATCTATGGGCTTCCAGGTGCTGGAATTGAGAAGA